CCCCCGCCTGTAGAAAAAATGTTCCGTCATAAAGTTATGATAAAACATAGACCTCAAATCTACATGAATGTACATTAGCACATGATGTACATGAATGCTTGCTGTCAAGCATTTGTTTGGTGAAGAATCAAAGGCCAGGCATTTAAATCAAAAGATCTACAACTGTTGGAAGAGGCATAATGATGAAATATTCAACAAAAAAGTGATGCTTGCACTTAGATCAGTACCAATGATAGACGTCCTGTACTACAAGTCAACTATTTTTTGGTAATAACCCTGCAAAAGTGGTAAAAATCAAAATACAAGTACATGTAGGTGCCATTTCAGAGTATTTATAATAAAAGCATTGTTGATTGTTAGAGTGCAGTTGTAACTTTGTTTGATCATTCTGTGATCCACAGCTGGACGTCAAATCTTCTTGCTCAAAGGAACAGGAGGAGCAAGATGACAACATTTCAAAAACAGAAAAGACAGGTATGCCTTACGATATCAGAGTGATCTTTCTTGTGCTTCAATCAAGCTTTCTGATAGGGTGCAATAAAAACAAAACAAAACAGAGTAAACATATTTTTAATATATTCTGTTTAATATTGTGATGACCAATGGGCCAAATAATAATTGAAAGGCCGTGGGCAAGAACGTCCCCTAGATTTTTCGGCCATTTTTGAAAGTGCTCAAAAATAGCTGAATTTTGGCATGTGGGCTTCGTTTTACCTGAGAAATATTGCTCTGTAGTTTTTTTCGCTGGGTTGCTCTTCATTTTCGAGAAATAATGTATGTATAAAAAGCACTTTTCCCAGTGGCATCTTTTTGTTGAACGCGAAACAAAAGAAACCTTTTGTTTTGCTGGACAAAGAAATCAACAAAGTGTCGCATTAGCTGCTTGTTTTTTGAGCTGATACAATGGAAGTGTTGTATTCATAAAATAAAGCCTTGGTTGCTTCGTTAGCACAAGCGAATAAGGCACTGTGCTGGCCGAGAGTGTGTATCATTTGTCGTGAGTCGAGTTCGACACGACGTCAGGCCTTTTTTTCCTGTTAATTTCTCCTTTTCTCTTTGAAACCAAAACATTAAAATATGCGGGCATACTATCGATGCTGCTTAAGTGCTGAAATAAACCATTCAAGTTCACATCAGCTGGCCAGTTTTGACACATTCTGGAGTCTTCATTTTGTTTCCAACCCCAGCGGCCAAGTTGAACTCATTTTTCTGTTCTTTAACTAGAGTTCTGTACTTTAATTTTATTATAAACTTTCCTAATGTATACTTCATGTTTCTTAATTGTTTAGATAAACAACTTGTGACCTCAATTGAGAATAAGATGAACATCTCAAATACTTCCAAGAAAGGTGAAGTTAATTCTTATAGTAACAATAAAGCGTTTTCATGCATGTGCATGTATGTGGCAGAGAGGATTGGGGAATTTATTTCCATTTGCAACTGACTATTTTGAAACATTTCAGTGATTCATGCTCAAGTGTACTAAGTCATCGAGTTGTGATGCATGTGTGAAGTTTGGAAAGCACTCAAAATAAGCTTGTAAGAGTTTCTCTTGGCTGCACCTAATTAAGGAACTTTTATGCTTCTTTCATGCTCTCCAGACTTTCCCTGTGCTTGAAGCTTGAACCAATTGTTAAATGATGCTGTCTACAGTATTGACATTGTTTGTGTTCTCTGCTTGCAGGCAAACCCCAAAAGAGCATGTACCTGTTTGACTTCTTAGGAGGTCAGTATTCTGTACAGCTAGAAGACATTTTATATTAAGTGTTATATGCATGTACATGGTGTTTATTGGCACCTTTACGACTACTCAGGGCTTAGCAGGGTTTCTTCGTAATCACCAGTGCCTGGCAAAATATTGTAAGTTGTCTAGTAGCTGTGCTGTGTACTCTAATTTTGACTCTGCCCCCTGTCTGCTCTATCTACAGAGAAAAAAATTGAACATTTGCTACCCCAAATTTGTTTCGAATTGCACCCCACAGCACCTTGCTCCTTCATTTACTTCACTCAGGATACACTGACATAGATTTTAGTTGACAAATGTAGTTCGTAGGGAAGTTACATTCCGTCCTTCAATGATGTGTTTGCAGATGAAGTCAGTAATGATGAATCACAAGCCCTCCAAGCACTCAATTCATTTTGGGTCACCAAAGTCGCCAAGAACAAAGATATTTTGCAGCGACCACCACCGAAAAGCCAAGAGGAACAGGACTTCTACAACAAGTACTGCGACAAACAGGGCAAGCTTTCCATCACAGCTGCCACTCATCTTATGAGGTATGTGCAATACTAAGACTAATGTTATTGTGCCATCTTTTGAGACAATCCTATGCTATATGTATGGTTCATAGCAGGCTTTCATGATCATACTTTCTCCCTTTTGCTTTTCAGTCATTCCTTCATGTACCGGTATTTTCACTTAGTGTTTTCTTTTGATTGTATTTGTGGCTGTGCACAAAAATTGCAATTGGCATGCCAATCCTGCCTTGGGAATTTTAATCTTCTTTTTTCAGTTGTATTTTTTAATTAACTGTTTTTTCCCCTTACGAGAGCTTAGACCATAATGGATCAACATTTTGCCTCAATAGCACATGATAACTAAAGAAACTTACCCGATGTTTTAAATGTTTAATTGATGTGAAAGTCCATTTTCAGAAAAATGCGGTACTCATCTCTAATGTAATACCCAGGAATGCGATAATGTTCCAATACCTTATTATCCAATATCTGCTCTATTATCTGTCAAGTGGTCACTTACGAGAGGTTAAAAATAAAAGAAAATTTCAAACCTTAGTTTTAAAAGTGGTTGTGGTTGCTTACGAGGGGTGGTCCCTTACAAGAGGTTCCAAATATAATGATTTTAATTTTGACTTCGAAACTTTTTGTATAATTTGCGAAACTGTTCACTGAAGGGACGTGGTCCCTCACAAACGATTTTATGTGAAACCAAACAAAAGGAGATGTGAAAAGAGTTCAAGGGTAGGTTAATGCTTTTCACTTTGAGCTTTTGGGTTGGGTAAATTTCAACACTGCCCTAAATTGTTTCTAAAATATGTTTTTCATATTATGTTTGGTTTAATTTTTTTCCTCCCCAGCCTTCCTCATGTGATCACTGTGTGCTTGAAGACCACTGCTCAGATTGAGGTGGTTGTATCTAATCGAGAGAAAGCTCTGGCAGAGTCTGAAGAGCTTCGTCAAAACTGCTTTGAAGTAGTTGAGGCTATGGCGATGCACTTGATGTAAGACCTCACAAAAAAGTGGGACAAAAGGTGAACCTTGCTCATTTTGCATTCTCTTAATATACTGTTCCAAGGTACACACATGGGAAAACACTATGAAAACGGAGTGAACCCTGTTAATATGACCACTTTTAATATATCATGCCATAGAAAATACTGTCAATCACAGGCCTAGGAAAGCCGTTGTATATTAATTTTGACGATATTACATCCAACCTTCCCATCATGCGCCGCATGTATGTCGCTTTGATTATGTTGGCCACTGTATTTTCTATGGCATGGTATAAAATAGTTCATGCAATTCTCTCTCTTGGAATATCACTTCTATTTTCTTGGTTTTCACACATGCCTAAAAGTTCATGTGTATACTGAGAAAATACAAGTGACTTGTGGGATATCCCATGGTGTGCCACTCAAAAGTATTGCATAACTACAGTAGTATAAAATTTTCCCCGAAAAAGGCTAAGTCCGTTTCTAATTAAGATCCTACACCTCCATAACGTGTCTAGCCACCACTTCAACTTCAACTTGAACTTCACTTTATTTTGTACTTACAGTTTTGGAATTAAAATAATAGCATAAAAGAGGAAAAAAGATACATATATAGCAATTAAAGGTGACAATGGTCTATAGTTTGTGCATGGAGGCTAATAGAACTGCAAGGTTATCGAGTTAGCCTCGATCTGGTTTGAGTGAACATAAAAAAAAACACATGGGAGTAGCAGGACTGATTACTGAAGGAGAGAGTGAGAAGAGTTGTGGAAACTTACGTTTGATTTTGCTGAGATAGAACATAGTTTTCAACACTTTTGGAGAAAGCAAATTGATTTAGAGCTTGGCATCCCAAACCTTAATGTTCCATATAAAGTTGCCACAGTGCGTTTGGGTCCAAATGCCCCCAACACAAATCACCCCTGATAAAATGCCCCTGGGATTTTTACTTGGATTACACCCACATGGATACTTGCAAGTTTAGGTCATATCCCGTTCAAGCCTGATTTTTTGGTTTATTTCTTTAAGGCAACTTTTTTTTGCACCTGCATAAGTTTCATAACTGTATTGATTGTCTAGTATAAATTTCTTTCTTTCAATTTTGTTTTTCAGTCAAAGGAGAAGATGACAAAATGTACTTCTAAGTATAGTACAATAGTATTAATAGTAAAGTAGTTTAGACTATAGCTGCTATTTAGCTTGTATTGGAGCTGAGCAAGCATTATTTTTTTAGAGATGCACGGTCGGAAATAATAGAACATGTATGTCCCGGATGTTGTGTTGCCAGCGCAAGCACATCATTCCCCTTGTCAGATGTATATATTTTCGCTTTTCAGATGACATTTCTTTGTTTTGTAAGAAAATAATGTACTTTTGAGGACTAGAAAAACTGCTGAACTCACTTGCCTTCCTGTTGTGCGTCCTCTAGCAGTTTTTCTCGACCTCAAGCGTGCATTTTTTTTCAGAGAACATGGAACGCCATCTACTATTTGGTAAATATTAGAATTTTAGTGCAGTATGGTTGTATAATGGTTATGAGAGTGTCTAAGTGGATAGACTGTAGGTGAGTTCTGCTCGCCTTGTGAGCACATGGTTTCCACTAGCGGTAACAAATTTCCTTTGTAACTAGTGCTCACATTGTTTTCATTCCGTTTTAAAGGAGTTGTGTCGTGACATTTTAAGTTTCTTTGCACAATCCGGTCACATGGTACAGAATTATTTATGCTGGGATGCAAGTTACACAGTGGGACTTCCAACTCGTACCAGCCCAGCCCGACTATCCTTTGTTTTGAAAGTCCCACTGTGTAACTTGAGTCCCAGCATAGTTAATTCCATACCATGTGACCGGATCGTGCAAAGGGCCTGTTTCTTCAAGGACTCTCATGGCAGTTTTTTTAAGGTACCAAGGGAGTGTTGATAAACTGAAAAAAAAAGACGGAGTAATTTTTTTATTTTTTTATTTTTTTATTTACGTTTTTTTTTGTAGTGAAGATATCAGTGACATCAGTACTGTTATTAATGCTCCAACCAGAGAGCTAGTGCCTGGTGAAACAAAAGGTTCTTTTGTTTAACTTGTTGGACATTTAAAAGACGAAAACAACGTTTGTAAACAAATATATTCCCTATGTATTTGCCCTGAGAAAGAGCTAACGTACGATACGACATTCGTTATTGTGTCCTCTTTATTCAAGTTGATGACTAGAGTGGATCTAGGGTGTTAAGGGGGGCAGGGGGGGTGGGGTTCTGTTTTGCTCGAACCAACCAAATTGAGAAAAGAAACATTATAACATGCTGACTTGGACTCAGAATGCCGGAAATTCCATTTCCGAGGACCTCAGTTTTTAACATTTTCTGGGACAGGATCACCCTGGAACCCCCCCCCCCCCCCCCCCCCCTACAGGGGACTGCCTCCCTATCTTGAGGCCCTTTCTCTAAAATTCTGTATCCACCCCAGGATAATAGTTGTCAGCCAACCAAGTGACTACGACTTGGGAAGATCAAGACTGATTACTAATTCCAAAAACTGAATTTTAAAAGGGAAGCTTTTAGTTTAACAAGTAATTAGACAAAGTGTCTTAGTGTTACTAGTAGTAATTATTAATATTTGTAGGTAGATATATGTATTTAAATAATAATTAAATGAATTCACGCGCTCTGATTGGTCAATCAACTATGGCCTATCGTGCCAGTAAACTCATGGAAATTTCGCGTGTCTTCTGAATTATTATATAAAAGCAATAGCCCACAAGTTTTTATGGTTTAGAGGCATGATAAACCACTTGGGATGTTGGAAGAGTTCTTCTCGTGTTCTTCCAACATTCCGCGTGGTTTATCAGCCTATAAGCCATAAAAACTTGTGATCTATTGCTTAAATATCTACACATAGATTTATAGATGAAGTTATAGATGATATATATAGTTACAAATCACCTTTCTTTCTTTGTATTGTATAGTTGACGGGGCAATAGTGTTTTAATAAAGGTCACCTGCCTACCTAGTCACTAGACTAGAGCTTTGCATCATTTTCTGCAGGGACGAGTACGAAAACCGATTTTACGATAAACCACCTTTTTCCCAGGGTCTCATCTTCGGGAAGATGAGAGGGCCTGGGAACAAGGTTGAAAAAAAAAAGGTCAATAACAGCCATGTGTATGTGCAATTGAAAGGTGACCGTGTGAATACACTTCAACGGCCTTGGAAATGAGGCAAATGTATCTATAAGCTGTCTGGGAATTTCACCAAACGACTCAAGTCGTGGGCAAGTCCCCATTTGGATGGTTGTCACGCAATGTCCTGTTATGTGGGTGGTAGTCACGCAATGTCCTGAATGAGTGGCAGGAGGCGCCTCGCATGACTCGTTCCCAGGGTCTCTCATCTTGCCGCCCTTGGCGGGAAGATGAGAGGACGTCTTGGAACATGAAGCTTGTCAGACCACTTGATCCCGTAAACATAAATAATTGTAATAAATGAGAACGGAAAAAATCGTAAAAGATATGTGAGTTAGCCTTTCTAC